TCTTTGTATTATTTATTATGTTTTAATTAGTTTTCGAAACTTTGCATACTGTTTTGTTCGTGTTTAAAAAGCATCACAAATTCAGAAGTGGTGTTCTGGAAGTTATGGTGAGGAAACATGCAAAAATATGCCAATATTAATATAAGTCACGAGGGTGTGATATGTTCGGTAAACACAGGCTGGCTCACCGCTGGTGCTGTCTGTCAGTGAAACTGATTCATGGGTCAGTCGTGTTATGAGGATTCATTTGTAAACAGTCCCATCTGTCACTCAGGGAGTCCATCAACAGTCTGAAGAGGAAGTACTCTCAGTCATCAGAGCCCACTGACAGTGACGCTGCCATAGAGAGGACGCTCAATGAGGTGGCAAAGGAGGGTTGCCAGTTCCTGTTAGATGAAGTTTTCCTTGATCTTGAGGTAAAAAAACAAAGTATATTTTTAATAATACTGTAGTTACTACATGTTTATGTTTGTTGTATTTTTAGTTTCATTTTCTATAAAAAAACAAAACTCCAGTCTGATATTGTCATCAGATTTTTATTAAATATATTATAAAAGGATATCAGAGGAAGTACTTTCTCTAGTCTTGCAGCAAAGCATTTAGCTACTATTGTGGTGTCCACTTCAAAGGAATCTAGGTGTTTATAATCAAATTTAAATTCATTCTATATTTCCTGTTGATCAATAAGAGACAGATGAATCTGCTGTATGTTAGGTGTTGTTGCTTCGTGTGTCTGTGAGCGAGTAAATGACCGGCCTGCTCTCCTTGCTCACACGTTGTAATAATAATAACACAAAAACTTTACAGATTTATCAGCTGAAAGTGAGTCAAACTGTTATTTAAGACAAATTCTCTTATTATAAGATTTCGAGGGTGCAGTTGAGTTCCTGTGAAACAGCTGCACCAGCTGTTTATGAAACCTCTTAAACTCTGCAATAAAGTAACAAAAAATACAAATGAGGATTTATTTTACGAATGAATAATAAGAATTTCCTCTCAGATGTTTATATACTGATTACAAATGATTCTCTCATTGCGTTTTCCAGAGTCACTTGAACGAACTGCTGACCAGGAAGTGGCTGACAGGCTCTCATGCTGTGGATACCATCTGTGTGACGGTGGAGGACTATTTCAATGACTTCAACAAGATTAAGAAACCTTTCAATCAGGTAGAAGTTTTGCAAACAGTCATAGAGTCCAGTGAAAGTGCATAACGATGTTTTCAGCTGTAGATCGGAGCTGTTTCCGTAGCTTCCACAGCTGTAGTGTAACTCTACTCTGAGGCCGAACCTGCTCTGTGTGCAGGAGATGACGAGCGAGGCCCTGCGCAGGGTGGTCGTCGAGTACATTAAAGCAGTGATGCAAAAGAGGATCACTTTTAAAAACCCTGACGAGAGAAAGGAGGGAGCTGAAAGGATGATGAAGGAAGC